TTACTCAAAGCAAATACTGTCTTCCCATTTTCCTTCTCCAGTGTCATTTTAAACTAACTCAAATCCTGTAATTGTGCTCTATCCCAACCCAACATTACGTGGATGGTACCCAAGTTGGGTAGTTTTGTCTTGATTATTTTTTAAGAAAAAAACAACTAACTTTTTTCATGGTATCAAGTATAACAGCTACTCATTTTAGGATGAATCCCTATCTTAAGCTTAATTCTATTCAACAACCATAGATTGCATCTCTAACATCCACTAATAATTAGTCATCTTCATGTAGTCAAGATAAAGCCTGAGAGAGCAAGAACAACAAATGCTCATCTCTGCTCTTGATTTCAGATACTTAAAGAGCCATGTCTACATTATAATTCTGGTTGGCAAGAAAATGTTAGCCTTTTGATCATAACTTTTGTTTGTTTTTTGGGGGGGTATTCAAGGTATTAAACTCATGAAGCCTAAGGTAGAATAAATTCTTCAGAGAATGTCTAGCTCAAGCTCTTCCTCTTACAGATGAGGAAACATGAGGCCTGGACTTAGATAGCTTAAGCGATGTGCCAAAATAAGTAGAAATTGGAGAAATGGGTCTAAAAAGTAGGTCTTCTAGGCTTTTTTTTTTTCATTCTACCATGTTTTCATTAAAATTAAAGGCAGTTTTAGATAAAAGATCAGTTTAAGAAACCATTCTTAAATCTCAGAAGGATTTGGGACTAGGAAGATGCCATCATAATGAAAACTGATAGATCAATTAATTCTCTGGCCTGAGGACCTGGAATGTATAGCTGCAACAGTGGTCCCATCATGTAATATGACTTATTTCAAAACATTTCTTTTAAAATAATGAATATAGATTGCCAATGAACAGTGTTTACAGTGAGTTCAAGATCAAACTTAAATAAATCCCTTGCCTTTTACTTAAAAAACAAAATAAATCTGATACAAAGCTGGAACCAAAAAGGGCTTTTAGCTCAGTATATACTTAACTTTTCTAGGGATAAAATACATAATGAAAGAGAACTCTTGTCATACAGATTTGGTCAATAAGTGAAATGATTCTTCAAAACATAATTCTATGTTTAAAGTTCAATAAAATACAACTGACCTATCACATAGCTGTTAGTTCCAGTACCAAGTAGTTTCAACATTACTTGTTTAGTAGAAAAGGTAAACTAAATGAGCGCCTAGTAGGTAACAATACATTAATTCTGAATATTAAGAGAAAATTTTAGCAATGAGTAAAGTTTCCAGACAGAAAGCTATAAAAATTCACATTTGGTATAGACAGAGCCTGACACAGCAACCCTACGAGCCCACTGTAAAGCTCAATACAATAATAAATATGAATAAAGGGTGTGACCATAGGAATCTTTCCCATTCCCTCAAACACCTTCATTTCTATATAAAGAGGAACTACAGAGAAATAGGAGAAGTTGCAAACTGAGAAGGAAGTTACATATTCTCTTCTATAGGAAGCAGAAATTCCCATAAATCACCAAAATCTAACTGTAGTGAAATCAAAAAGTTCAAGATGTTCTCTCACAAAGCAAAAAATCCAGTTTAATACAATTTTAGAAAATAAAGATTTTAAAATATCTCAAACACTTACCTCTTCTGGGGTGATTACACCCGTTTCCTTAAATTTTGATTCCTAAAGAAAGCAAAAACAATAATATAATAATATCTTTCAATTTCAATTACAAAATGTTGCAGGGGCAATGAATTCTTCTACGCAATGGAGTACATTCAAAAAATTATACACTGTGCATATCGTGTATGTCACTGGTACTTGACCAAAGATATATAAAAGCCTAATGTAGAAAACTTAAACAATTTGATCACAATTCTAAGAAAAAACATTCAAAGGTTTAAATAAGCATGAAGCTTTACAATGATTCTGTGCAATGAACAAATATCTTTATTTAACAGCATCATAAAAATGACTCAAAGATGTTTAAGAATCTTAACAAATCTTATTTAAACTAAGTAATATTAGAAATCAAATGTAGGAATCATTTAATATTTCCCATTACTCTCATCTCCACCAAGATATTAAAACAATATTCTTTCCTCTAAGTAAGGTATGGTATTTATTAAATTTTTCTAAATTTTAAGCTATAAGTAAGATTTTGTGGTAGCCTACAAAAAATGAAAAGATTCATTTATAAACATTACTCATTCAACAAATATTTACCAACTAACTTTGTGCCAGGAAATGGTATGTATGTATGAATAAAATAGACCAAACTCATCTTTGCTCTCAAAAACTATTTTAATTCTAGTTGAGGAAAAAAAAGTCAAATGATAATGAATAGCATACTATTAAAAAAAATGAAGCAGAGAGGAATCTGCCAGGTGGTAGGGAGAGGGCCATGAAAGTTTGAAATAAGGGATGAGAACATAGCTCAGTTGGTAGAGTGCTTGTCTTGCATGCACAAGACCCTGGGTTCAATATCCAGCACCACCAAAACAAACAAACAAAAAAATTGAAATAAGAGAATAAAGATAAGTAACTTAAACACCTATGTCAATGAACAAACCATAAAGCCATCTGGAGGGAGAGCATTTCAAGCTGAGAGAAGAGCAAATACAAAAGCTTAGAAGCAGGACTGTGTTCAATGGAGTGCTAAAGAGGTCAAGTTGGCTTAAAGCAAAAGTGCTCATGAGACAGAGTAGTACTTGAGATTGCAATTTCTACCAATTAAGTACAGCCTTGAAAATCATTATCAGGACTTAAGTTTTTACTGTATGTATGTTCCCTAAACAAAACATGATTTTTTTTCTTAAGTTTAGCAGAATTCATTATTTCTTTCTTAGGAATTTTCCCTTTTTTCTCCTTCCCTCATTTAACAGGATACTTTAAGGATTATCTCTGTAAACCAAGAGCAAAGGAGTGACAGGAGAGGGTAATAATTCTGCTTTCCTTTATAGTAAAAATATACACCTTACATACTAACAGGTTAACACTTCTTTCCAGTTGAGAAACAAGTAAAATGATTCTTCAAAACAATCTATGTCATAAATTCAATAAAATACAATCAGACTATTAAATAACTTTTATATTTAAGAGATCTTTGATTCATCTCTCATTGAAACTAAAAATTTGTAACACTGTGGATTGTTAAAATGCTGTATACCTAGGTAAACATGCTATTCTGAAAAAGTATAATATAAGATGAGGTAGAAACATTTGATTCAATGTCAAAATTATTTTTGAATTTTAAATAGTTGACTGAAAAAGCTTAATTAACTAAAATGACTTTCACAGTAAACAAACAAAATGAAAGCAAGAGTTAGGATCCCATTTAACTGTACCTGACTTTTTTCTTACTTGGCCCAACAAGGTCTCATTTCAAAACGAGTCTTGGAAGTATGTAAAAAAAAAAAAAAAAAAAAAAACATACAGATCTAACATTTCTCTATGTCAAGGAAAGGAAGTAAAACTGCCAACCATTTCTTTTATTATATCAGAATATTTTATCCCCACACTAAGATTAGTAAAATTCGAATCAAAAGTTAATAAAAGAACAAAATGAAAGAAAACTAAGCGAGCACTTGCCAGTCATTTAGTATCACGATGCACTTTTCAGAAAAAGTGCAAAAATAAAGATACCCCAGAATAAGAGAAACTTGACTGCAGTTCTAGAAATTTATCTCTGAAAATACGAAACAATCCAGTCACTGCTGTAACAGCTAATGTGTTACAATTTTTACTTTGTAAGTGCTGTATTTTGCCAACATACTAAAAATTATATATTCAAGCGAGTCAAGCTGCTCTTTATTATCACTGAAAGTCCAAGATTAAAAACCAGTTACTGATATTTTTAAAACGTGGGAAAGCATAGTTCTGCTCTTTAGTTCAAGTACAATGTTAATGTTACCAATTTCACTTCGTTCCTCTAAACTCTTAAGGAATAGGAACCTCAGTCACTATTTACGTATTTCATACTTATAAAAAGTCTTTCTCCGAAACTTGAGGGTGGGGGAGTGTCATATGTCATTTTGCTACCAAGACTTATTTCATTCCACCAAAATAAGCAAAATCCTTGGTTAAATGTTTTAAACTTCCGATGTTAGGATTTAACATTGTTAAATCGTCCTAGCTGCCGACCACCTTCCAACCCTACAAACCAGAAGCAGAGTTGTGAAGGGTGGAGACCCGAGCACACACACAGAGCGTCGCTCCAAGTTTATCAATGAGGAGCCAGAAAGCCCTACCGAACGGTAAGGGGAGACCAGGGATGGGGGCTCCCCCTTCTCTGCGTCCCACCCTTACACCTTCCTACACTGTTCCCCGTCGGATAACACGGGTCTCCTCTGGCGCCCGGTTCTTGCAGAGCTGACCGTGAGCCTGACAGCCCCCGGCAAGCCCGCCCGGCTTACCTTGAGGACCGGGGTCAGGTACTCAGCCACTTCCAGTGCCTTTCCCTTCACCGTGTTAATCACATTCTGCATCCTGGGGCCGGAACAGCGGCCGGCCCCGCGATGGGAAGGGCAGCCGGGATAGGGGCCGGGAAGTCAAAAGATGTCCCCAATGCCTCCGACTCGCACAGGCACCCAGACGGCAGCACCCGAAGGGACGGGACAAGACTGGACGGGAAGCGACAGGACGGACGGGGGGGAGGGGCGACGAGCGCCGCACGAGAGGGCAGGGCGCGCGCTCCTCACGCCCCAGGCAGCACGCGGCCGGCCGGGCCCAGCTGTCACCTGGCTGCGAGCGACCAAAGTAGGGCCAACCGGAGAGCTACAGGGAGAAGCAAAGGTACACGCACCCCTGGCCCTCCCGGGAGCTGTCTTTCCCCCCGCCCCCCTTGCCTCACTCGCACCCCTTCCGACTTCCCCTTCCTCTCACTCTCGCAGTAGCTCCGCCGCCACCTGGGCCTCACGTGACACCAGACTCCCCTGTCACGTGACACCAGAAAGGCCGCGCGGGGCGGGATCGCGCCTCTTCTCCCCTCCCGCCGGAAGCCTAACACTGAGCGCGCTTGCGCAATGGGCGCAGAGTACGCTCTATTCAGGTCTAGACGTTATTTTGCTTTTTGTTCCGGAATAAGGAGCCGAGGGGAGAGGCTTTTTCGCCTCTGTTTCCCTCTTATAGCTTCCCTTCCTATGGACCGTAAAAACCTACTGCTGCTACTACGGAGCTAAACAGTCACTGTCTTAGCTCTATGATGTGCGTTCTTCCACTAGAAGCTTTTCTGACGGCTGAGGTAACCGCGCCCCGCAGGCAAAGTATTGCGCGTGCGCATAAAGGGGGGCGGGGAGTGTTGCCAGTCGAGCTCCTTACTGCGCAGGTGTAATGAAAGGGTTTCCCTCTCTGTGGAGGGAAACCTGGCCTCCTTGTAAATTGGAGGTGTCTCGTTGGTTCTGTCATGCTTGTGCCTGGCTGCGCTGTAGAATTGGCATTTTCTCTCCAATCCCGGGCTCCATGTGCAGTGCTTACCGGTATGCTGGGAGGCTTTGGGCATGTACTCAGCCAGCCTGGGATTTCGTGTCCTCAAGCTGTCAAAAGAGGGCCTGAGACTCATTGAACCCAAAGATTGGCTCTTCTGTTTCCCACACCAGTGGAGTAAAAATTAGCAGCTGTGTTTTAGACATTTTCATTTTGGTCATTATGACAACGAAATCTCTTCCAGAAAACCCCTTTTCTTCATCTGAGGGGAGAGCTGCTACTCAAAATATAATTCCAAAATCCTGTTTCTGGTTTCAGGGAAAAGTTGCAGATGAGTTGGACTGCTTTTCTGCAGTACCAAAATGTCAGATTCTCACATGCTACGATTGGTCAGCATTTCTAATCCGGCCCTGCCGTTTCTCTCTCTCGAGTACCCCCTCTTAACAGATTTTGATTTTGATTTTTCATTTCCTTTCCCCATTTTTCTCCTGTATTCAAGTTTTTTGATTCTGATATAGCCATAGCCAGATTACTGAAAATTTCCTAGTCTGCACAGTCAGTGATATTTGCATTATGTTTAATCTCTAGGTCTGACAACGGGGTTACTCATGAAAGTGTTCTTCTCTTTAAGGCAATTTAAAATCAGTAGAATGGAAAGAAAGTGCTGTAGGCGGCCTGGGTTATGGCCCTTCTCGACAATGTATACATTCCTGCTAGGTGCCTTATTCATTGCTTTAAGCTCAAGTCGCATCTTACTGGTAAAATACTCTGCCAATGAAGGTAAGTTAAGACTTACAAGTCCATATAGAATCCTTTTGTGTGTGTGTGTGTGTATGTGTGTATGTGTGTGTGAGAGAGAGAGAGAGAGAGAGAGTTGAAGGAGTAGAATTTATTCAAGTGTGAAGAATAGAAATAACTCTTACAGGGGCAAGAGGAGAACTATATAGAATACTTAATCACACATTCTCTCCTGTCTTTGGTTTCCTTGTGTATAAAATGGAGATAATAAAACCTTATGAAGTGCTTTCCTTCATATGAATGATAAAGCATGTTTAAATATTATTCTTTAACCTTTCATTCCTCAGCAAGACAAAATTTTGATAGTGCAGTCTGGTTCAGGCAAGCACTAAATCAAACCCTTTGTACAGAACATCTTACAACATCTGATTACTGCTTCAATCAGCAGGTGTTTCTGGGCATATAACAAAATGTATAATTTCAGCCTATTTTGAAGTAGATGGGAGAATATATTTGTCACTTGCTGTTTTTGAGGTATAATTATTATATCAATGGGTTAATGTAGTTTATAATGTAGTTGATAAGTATGTGCCCAATAAATTATTATTTTTTTAAATGTAAGAATTTAAGCAAATATGTCAATTCCATAAAATTGTTATGAGTACTTCTCACTACTTATTGATAACACTCAAAACCATGATATCATCACTCTAAATGATCTGCTTGGGGAGTTGTGTGTCTCAATGTCAGTTAACTTCTGTCAGGTCCTAGGCTAAGTCTTAGTGATATGACTTCAAAGTGCATAAGCTATTGACCTTATCCTTAAGAACTCACTTTATTTGGGGAGACATACATAGAAACACATTGTGAAAATAGAAATAGAAATATGTCAAAGATGCAGAGATAGTGGATAAAAAGGCTAAAAATGTTTTCTGTGTGTACTATGATATGAAATACACTGGAAGATTCTGAGTTAAGGAAATGCCATTGATAAAGTATACCTTGATTTTAATAAGGTAGAAAGGTAACATAAGAAGAACCATAAACTGAGTAATAATACAGCATGTAAAATCATAATAGCTTGATTAGTCAGACTACCAAGTGTCAATTAAATGGTCAATTTAGAAGGCAGTCTGCAATGCCTTGCTACAGAGCTTTCTTTGCTATTGGCCCTAGTCTATTCAACATATTTATTAGTAACATGGATGAAAGCATTAGGCATGCTTTATAACTTAAAGCTAAATAAAAGAGAGATAGCTATGAACAGATGAACTGTTTCAAAATTTCATAGAAGCAAAGCAAATGGTAAGAAATTTATTGCAGTCCGTGCAAAGCCAGCTTTTAAGTTTAAAAACAATTATAATTATTAACTGCATACAAACATATAGAATAAAAAGTATAGTTAAGAAAACATTTCTGTTATATTTCAGAGAACAAGTATGATTATCTACCAACTACTGTGAATATATGCTCAGAACTGGTGAAGCTAGTTTTCTGTGTGCTTGTGTCCTTCTGTGTTATAAAGAAAGGTGAGTCTTGAAATGGTACTATGTAATCGCAGAATCAAAAAACATTAGAACTGGAAATGACAGTTTATATCATTCTGGTCCTTTTTATATCTGAGGAAGCTAAGACACTAACATAATTGTGTTTTATTATAGGTAGAGAAGTATGCTCAAAGTATTCTGTAGAGCTGTACTAGAAAGGACAAAGCTAGTACACGAACCCACACATCCTGTCCACTGCTTTCCCTCATACTTGTTCTTGTTATGGTTTCACAAGCCCGTTGGTTTTTTATCTAAATTCAGGATTTTCTAAATCACTGCTAATGTGAGGTGCTATGCATCATATTGCAAAACAGTTCCCATTTTGTACAGGGAAGTCACCATAGAAACTCTGGAGTCAAAGAGGTTCTATGTTTTGAGGTAGAACTATTAAATAGGGATAGTAATCCTTTCCTCAAATGTAAAAGTATTACCCTTTATGGAATGTACAGGTCTTTGTCGTAATTCTTCACCTCATTTCCCCAGTTATGAACCCTTAACCCTCTGCTTCTTTGATCTGTCTTCTCAGATGAGGTAAACATAAAATGTAAAGCATTAAAGTGATTGCCTGGGAACATGACTTTTAACATTCAAGGGTTTCAATCTGTGTAGAGTTTCTAGTTAGTGGAATACTAGTTAGTTTTAATTTCATGAAACTCAAGCATTACTTGCAGAGTTTAAACTGTTTGCTTCTCTTTTCATTTTACATTCTCTCTGTTGCAGTGTTTGGCAGTCTGGAACTGGATAAAAACTCACACTAGAATTAGTAAAAGTTAATTTTAATTGCTTTTAGTTCCATATGTATAAATTTCTACATATTAATTCCGTTTCCTGGTCTTCTGCAGGGTAGGAAGGAATCCCAACATGAAACTTGTTTCCCCAACACACTTATTCCAACATTGATTTTTCTCTTATTCTTATGTTCTCAGAGATATAAGAGAAACCACATGTGTATCTTGAGTCAACTTAAACAATACTTCTGCTTTAAGTTAATAGGAATTAGGATAATCAGTATTATCCTAATAAGGATGTTGCTGATTGTCAGTGATGGGACACAAAGGTGGGTTAGAGAGAGACTAGTTAAGTTCCATATTATCTTTTTTTTATAGGCTAATGACCACTTAGGAAGCAAGCTTATAAAACCCCTTTTGACGAATTCTATCAGTGATCAGATATAATGTACTTTCTCTAAAAATATAGGCTTTCTCATCAAGATTATTTATTTATTGCTCTGTTTTTTTCTGTAGAACCTCATCGAAGTAGAAATTTGAGATGTGCTTCCTGGAAGGAATTCTCTAATTTCATGAAGTGGTCCATTCCTGCCTTTCTCTATTTCCTGGACAACTTGATTGTCTTCTATGTCCTATCCTATCTTCAGCCTGTAAGTAAATATGACAGAATGCCATTGAAACGATAACAGAGAAATGAGTCCCAGAAAGTATCTTCCTTTTTTTTTCCCCATCATTTTCCTCGACTGTCTTAGTTTCTTGTGGCTCTGACTGACCTTGCTGAAATTTTCCCAGATTCATTAGAAAGTGAAATTATGGATCTGCTTGCCAGGTTCTGTCACTGTTAGAGATTACTATATTAAATTGTACTGACTGCTATGGTGGAGTTGCTTCTTGTCCCAAGAGATCTGAAGCCATGCCTCTTTGTGTAACCTTAGTCAGTCTGCCTATATTCTGAGCCATACTGTAATCAGCCTCTAATCTCAATCTCAACATCCAAGCAGACTTTCGTTATTAACTCAGAAAATATCTCTCTTACATCTGTTCTAATGTAGTTTAAATGCTTTCTATTTGTGTAGATTTTCTTTTTTATTAATTTTATCATTTAACCAGCAAATTCTTTGAGAGTAAGGATTGTATCCTCCCAACAGAAAAAGCCTTTGTGTCACTTTGGAAAGCCATCAGTAATCAACATTGAAGTTTGGTCTTCTGCTTTTACCCATTACTCAAGTTTGATACTCAAATATGTATTCCTATTAACATCTTATAAAATGAGTATTTCTATTGCCTTTATTGCCAAAATGTGTTTTAAGTTTCTTTAAAAGGTTAAAGTGGGCATTTTGGTTGTAAGTAGGATTTTTATTGGCACTGATCTCTGTGAAACCTGTTACATGTAACCAGGTGAATTTTAGAACAGGATGAAAAGGCGCAATAGCGCTATAGTAGGAAAGAGGAGATTTTAACATTTTTTTCACAACTTAAAAGCTATGTAACAAGTTAGGCCCTAACTGCTCTAAGTTTCAGTTACTCTATTTATTAAGTAGAAATAAACTAATCTAGGTCAAAAGCAGGAATCTGGACTAGTTGATCACTTGAGGTTACTTTTAGCTCCTTGACCCATGTTGGTAGTTAGTGCTCAGTCCATCTAAAACGTGTCTTCTCATAAATTCTTGTTTCCACTTCTTTTTTTAGATTTGAGAATTCCTGTGCCTAACAATATAATTATTCACATTCAGTAAATAAATATTTGTTGTATTTTTTTTTGTATCCAACAGAGAAACTCTAAATTTATACCCCTTTCCTTCTCTCTCTCTCTTTTTTTTTTTGGATACCAGGATACTTAACCACTGAGTCATATCCCTAGCCCTTTTTATTTTTTATTTTGAGACAGGGTCATCCTAAGTTGTTTAGCTCCTCAGTAAGTTGTTGAGGCTGACTTTGAACTTGGGATCCTCCTGTCTCAGCCTCCCAAGCCACTGGGATCACTGGTGTGCTCCACCATGCCTGCTGCATGTTTCTTCTTTTTCCTCTGTATTTATTGTTTTGCTTTTCCTTCCCAATAATGTACAAACACAGATATTATAAAATAAACCACATGGCATACTCTTGTATTTCTAGTTGAGCCTATTGAAAGAATTAAATGGAGATACATGGAAATTTAGGGGCAAATAGCTCTTATGTTTGATTTATTCTATAGTACTATATGGTAACAGTGTTTAGAATTCCTCAAACCAACCAGGCTGCTTAGTTAGGTGTGTTTGCATTGCCCTTGGTATATTTATCCAGGACCACCACTTCTTTACTCTTACCAAACATTTTCCTCATCTTAGTTTTCTCTTTTAACTGGGGGTTCACAAGAATTTGTCTTATAGAGACATACTCTGAAAAAACCCAATTCAAAGTTTTCCAATAAAAGAAAAGATAAATGGTTAAGAAGGTAGAAATGCTAATCACCTTGATTTGATCATTATATTATATTACACGTATTATATTACATTATATATGTATCAAATTATCACCCTTTATGTACCCCATAAATATTTACAATTATTGCACATCAATGAAAATTTTTAAAAATTCAGTAGAAAAGCAACAATGGTATATTCTTTGAATTATTGTTAGTTTTTTTGAATTATTCTTTTTCAGTTTTAATGTAGCTGCTTATTAGCCATGTTTGCTATCATTAGTGGTTACATAAGACTGCTTGTACTCTTTGGAGTTTATTTTTAATTTTTTTTATACTGTTGGTACTAGGGATTGGAATCAGGAGGTGCTCTACCACTGAACTACTTCTCAAACCCTTTTTTTTGAGACAAGGTTTTGCCAAGTTGCCCATGCTGGCCTTGAACTTGCAAACCACCTGCCTTTGCCTTTAGATTCACTGGGATTACAAGGATGTGCCACTACACCTGGCTCTCTGTGGAGTTTAATCAACTTAAATTGATAGCAAGGAAGAAAGCAGGGTGAACCAAATCATAGGATTTATTTTAAAAATTATTGATATTGTCAGGTCCAGTTGTATAGAGCAGTGATAGATTTTCATGCTTTCTGAGCAAACTATATACACATTCAGATTAATACTGTTCCTATGAAGTGTGACAGAATTCACAAAAACAGACCACTATAAAATCTGGCTAACATATTTCTAAGTGTTTAGAATAACTTGAATCAATCCAAAGGGTGGAGTTTGATTTTGAGTCATGTCAGTTCAAGCTGGAAAATTGATTCAATTTCTAGAACAGTAAAGATCCTTAAAAATCTATCTAAATTTTATTACCATATAAATGGGCCTAACGGTACTTCCTTTCTACTCACCTATAGAAGCAGTATTAAAAATCTATAAAGTGTATTGAAAGCAATGGAAAGTATATTTCATAAGCATGGTAGCTGTTAATTTCTAGACCTAAACCTTTACAAGTCATAAGTATTTCCAGATCTACACATAACGATTATTTACACAGGCATTGCCTGAACTCAAACACACAGTTTCAAAGCCTGAACAATAATTTGATCATATCTCCATAAATTTAACAAGCAATAAAAATGGAATTTAATCCTCTAGTGAAATAGCTGCCCTAATAACCCCTCTGGTTTTTTACTAAAAAGCTTTTTTTGTCAGGTGAATTACCAAACTGGGAGATTTCTTAGGTCAGTACTCTGTTTGGATTGTAATTCTATCTTCTCTTTCTTTCTAGGCCATGGCTGTTATCTTCTCAAATTTTAGCATTATAACAACAGCTCTTCTATTCAGGATAGTGCTGAAGTAAGTAGCTTGCTGTGAAAGCATATATCATACTTCAAAATGGCACAGCCTGGTTTCAGATGATATACCCAGGGCACTGAGCCCTCCGAATCCCAAGACCAGGATTTTGTTCCTAATTGGCTTTGTGTATTGGGCACATTGTTTAACCCATGTTGAAAGCAACTCCAGTGATAGCCTGTCTAAAACTTCTGTGATCAGATATATATAAAATGTCTTGAGCATCTCAAAAATAAGATAATTAATTGGGCTATAATTAGTACTTTAATTTTTAGTGCCAGATTTTCAAGAAAGAATTCATAAGCTTTTTAAATACAGTCGATTGGACACTTAATAGGGAATCAGGAGGTTCCTAAGATATTTAATACATTAGTTCTTTGGAGATGATAGAGTGGCAAATTCTTTTTTTAACCCTTTGAGATAAGTTCATGATTTGATCCCTAACTGGAGGACAATTTGTTTGAAGAATCTAGTCAAAATGAATAAGAATGATGGACTTTTAGACTTAAAAATGTTTTCACCCATCTTTACAATATCCAGGAGGACCACTGAGTAGTATAAACATTTTTCAGTAAATAGGCTCTGTTACAAAGCAAAAAGGAAAATATCGTAGTCTGAAGTAGGCTGATACAAAGATGGTAGGTACTTAATCTCAAATGAATTTATTAATAATGACGATAAAAGAATAAAATTAACTTTTTGTTATATTTGTCATGACGGTTTTTAAATTTTACACTCTTTTTATCTTCTTAATTTCTTATTTATATGTTATGTGATAGGTGTTCCTTAATAATTTATGTGTACTAAAGGATGGATAGCTTATATAGAGGCAGCCTAAATGTTTGTTGAATCCATGATACATTTATTATATAAATTATTTGAGTTTCTAGAAACATTTACTCTGAGGAAACATTCAACTTGATAGTTAATGTGAGATATTTTTAAAAATTAACAGTACACTTAGTATAGTTTAAATGTTAGAGTACATTGAAATTTGCTTTGTGCATCATGTTCTTCACTTTAGTTGTGAATTGTAAAAATAATTCTATAACTAGCAAGTTAAAAGAATGCGATTCCAAAAAATGTTTTGAAGCCTTTGAAATCAACATGAAATTCATTTAGTAAAAAATTGCATTCTAGGAGAATTTGTGTAAGTGATAATATTTTTGTATTTAGTTCCTGTGATAAAATGGAGATGTACTTCCATGAACCAAAAAAAAAAAAAAAAACTGGTTCCAACATTTAATAAAATGTTCACAGTTTAATAAGGGAGTAGAGGCCTCAAATTTTTTCCAGTGAAATGACAGTTCATTAGGACACATAGTATAAAACTTAAGTTATTAGATAATATACAAGTTTTATATTGAGATTACATTAAAACTTCATTTGCCAAATCATACATGATTTGAAATTCATTCGTTAGTTGTTCTAACTTTACCCTCTAGTAAATCTAGTTAAATTTTTAAGCATTTAACTGTTTGTATTAAGAAAGTTAATTCTTCATATAAGCAAATTCAAATCTACTTGTACTGTAAATTTTGTTTTAACATTAATTATAATAATAATTATATTTTGCAAATTTTAGTAATCACATTTATGAACTAAAGCTAAAAATATTTTCCATGCACTTTACCTCTTATTTTCAGAACAATAATATTGGTTCTTAGACATGTTAATAAATCTCTCTCTGTTTTGAGCCCTTGGAAGTGTTTATAGTAAAGAATAATAAAACCACTCCAGTTTTATTTCTTCCAGGAAAGCTAAATTAGCAACCTGAGTGGGTCTTAATTGTACTAATTCAAAAATTAGCACTGATGCATCTCTAAATAATAAAGCCACAATAGTGTGCTAATTAATATTGTCTTTATGAGCATGACTTTTAAGTATTCTTTTATTTAGTATTAGCTTTTATTACATTTTTAACTTTTCTAATTGTTAAAAACACAGCATATTTGCCATCTTAACCATTTTTTTATTATATGATTCTGTATATTAGGCATATTCATTTTATTGTGCAACCAATCATGCTTTCCAACTTACAGATTTGAAACTCTGAACACATTAAACAACTCTCTTTTTCTTCCTCCCACGCTTGGTAACCACCATTCATTCTACTTTTTGTTTCTGTGAATTTGACCTCTTTAGAAACCTCATGTCAATGGAATCATACATTCTCTTTTTGTGACTGGCTTCTTGCACTTATTTATGTTCTCAAAGTTCTTCTGTGTTGTAGCATGCAACAGGATTTCCATCTTTTTAGAAGCTGAATAATTTTCCTCTCTTCACCTTAACTGTGTTCTCTTTTAATCATTTTGTCATTGGTGGTATATGTTGTTTGTTTTTCCCTGTTTAATATTACTCTTTGTGGGTCATATGATCATTCCTTTGCCCTTTGCCATGAAATTTTGACTTTGGAGTAGCACCTTAAGAGTTCTATCACATGTTCTTGGTTTGTTTGCCATAACTCATTTTTCATTTAGAATATAGTTGTTTTATACTTGACTCTAACAGAGCCATCAAACAACTTTTCTATACAGGTATAATAAGGCTGCAAAAGTAGAAAAAATTAGGTGGTGATTAATGCAAGAATTAGTTGGAGGAATTTGAAAGTGGGGGGAAAATACCATTTAAATGTCCTATTGGCTTTTCTAAAGAAACTCTATGTGAATATAGATTTGTTCTTTGAAATGTAGCCACTAATTCAAAGTGGAAACTGGTGGCAGACATTCTGCCTTCAAGTCTGCCTTATTGGTTTGCTCTTGCACCTTAGCAGAGTTATTTAATCTTGTTTGCTTTGGCTTTGGAAAATGACAGCATCAACCTGGAAATTTATATTTTACAGCAAAATAACCATGATTAGCAGTTATTTTTACCTACTTATATGTATAAGGTTCTCTGATATTACCAAAGCAAAGCTGTGGGAAAAGATCATTAACAAACACATTTTGATACACACCCTGCCCAACCAGCAGAAGAATTAAGAAATATCCCACTCAGGATTGTAAGCATTTTCTTCAAAATTATTTATTTACTTTACAAAGCTTTATGATTTCTCTTAAATCTACTCCAGTTGGTCTCTTTGCTACTAGGAAATGTATTTTGTACAGTGCCTTGAGAAAATAAATTATTTCATAACCTACTAAATTGTTTTGATGCTCTGCCTTGATTTACTATCTACCATATTTACTATTCTACCATCTTTCTACCATATTTCCCAATATGGTAGAAAGATGGTAGAATTATTTTTATCTGACACAATTTGAATGTGATTGTTCAGTTACTAGGTAAACTCATAATGGAGAATCTCAATATATAGTCATCCGTAGATATCCATAGCAGATTGGTTCCAGGACCCCTGCAGATACCAAATTTATGGATGCTCAGGTCTCTTAGTATTTGCATGTAACCTACCATATACTCTGTCATTTCTAGATTACTTAAAATACTTAATACAATGTAAATGTTTTGTAAATTGTTATCATACTGTATTATTTAGGAAATCATGAAGTTTGTACATGATCAGATAAAAATTTTTTAAATATTTTTGGTTTGCAGTTAGTTGAATCTATTGATGCAGCACTTATGCATACAGAGGGCTAACTGCAAAAACAGTAATCCCTCCGCCCCTTATCTATGGGAGATAGACATTCTAATACTCCCAGTGGATGCCTGAACCCTGTTACAGTAGTTTTTTCTCTATATACATATACAAATGTAATGCCCTTTCCATCTTAACTAAATATTTGCCATATACTGTGAGTACAATTTTTGCAGTTTGAAGTTTTGACAGCAAAACATGTATTTTGTTTTCCTCCCCCCCCCCCCCCCCCGTTGAGAACTTTAACCTTCTCATCTAAAGGAAGTGCTTTACAGCATCTCTTTGGCATTTCTGAATTGTTGGCATCATTATTCTTGCTCCTTAAAGCTATTACTAAGTAAAATGAGCATTACTTGAGCACAAGCACTGTGATACCTCAAGTGTCAATATGATAACTGACTGATGGGTGGGTAGCATATACAACACAGATACACAGGGAAAGGGGATGATTCATATTAAGGTGGGGCAGACTTGCTGTAATGAGATTTTATCCTGCCTACAACATCAGAGAATTTGAAACTTATAAATGATTTTGTCTGGAGTCTTTCATTTATTAGTTTTGAGAAACAAAACTGCAAATGGGGATAGTGTTTGTGTGTAAATCTAAATTTATTTTAACTTTTTTTTATCTGTTCATCCTTTTGATGAACATCTTTCTGTTGTTGAGCTAGGGTTTTTCCCTTGAGTATATGTAGGGTTTGCTAATTGGAGTTCTTTGGTTTCTTTCTTGTATGAAGCTATAGTCACTTATGATCCATGACTTCTGGTTTCAGTTACCTTAAAGCACATCAAATATTTGAAAATACTTCTAAGAAAGATAACTCATCAAGATTTTTATTATTTTTCCCTAACCTTTACAATTAGCTTACCTATATATAATTTACAACCAGCTTTTTATCTTCTGAATTATTTGCCTTTACCTAGTCTTTCTAAAAGTTTCAGCTCAGTTTTAAATAAAACAGTATCCCTTTTCATAGTTTATCATTTATGTAGTTGTTAAAATATGTTATGACAATAAGGAGGTCACCAGGTAAAAACACATTTGGGAACAGAGATTTGGGAGCAGAGGCCATCAGGAAAAGTGGTCTTTTAGCCACTCAGTTCACTTAGCAGTCAGCTCTTAGTAGTGATTGACTCTGTTTTACTTGAACAGAGGAAGGATTAGATAAGTGAACTATTTTATTACATTAATTAAGCTGAAGAATAAACTTTTCCATACAGAATTGGTCATCATTTATAAATACACAAGTCCTTAGCTAATTTTGCAGGATAATTTATGAAGCTTTATATTTTTTGGAAAGCATACAATTTCTTAATAATTTTTAATAATTTTTACCTTCTCTGGAATATTACCTCAGGTGAGTAATTGTTTAGAGTAGGTATTATTTAGTTTAATAGTTCGTTTCCTTAGATTCTTTATTTGCAATTTCAATATTAAGGGAGAGTCTATATCTCCAAGAATTGAAAATTTCTAAAGATACTGTTTTTGCCTCGGTTCTTATGTATAATATTTGTTTATATAATTATTTTAATAAATCAGACATCCATTTTTCATCTCTGTAATTTTGTCTTACCATTTCTGTTTGCTGTCCACTACTTAGTATGTACCAGCTGTACCTTCAGAAATTTAGGAAACTAGTTCACAATTTTTGACCTCATGACATAGAGCTATAGCTAACCCCATCACTGAGCTCTAGCTCTAGTTAATTAGAAAATTATGTAAATGAGAAGACATGAGCATGTGCAGACAGGTGTGTTGCTGTCTAGACTGGTATGGGTTTCACAGTGTAAGAGCATGAAGCTATATAGAAGTATTAGTGGAATCATACCTATGTGTTTACCCTTCATATATATATCATGGGAGCTCAGAATTATTTCTGAAGTTTTTCTGTTGTCATTTTGTTTTGGTTTTAGTTTTTTTAGCAGTATGGGGATTGAACTCAGGGCCTTTAGCATGATATATAAGCACACTACCACTGAGCTACATCCCCATCCCTCAGAATTATTCTTAAAAAGTTGTGATGATCTAGAACATACAAAACTGTGACTCAAATCCCTTTCTTACTCCTTCATAATATAGACCTTAGGGAAATCAGTTAACCTTTCAAGACAGCTTTCTTTCCTCAGAGCCTGACCCCCAAAAGTAGGTGCTCAATAAGTACTCCAATAAAATTCTTAGGACTTCTGGTTCTCATATATAACTTTACTCTTCTGCCTTTACTTATGTCATTTTCTTTTCTTGGCTTCTCCCTTTTTTAACCTAATTGATTTTCTAGCATCAAGATTTTGTTCTCTCCAGAAGTATCCCAGAGTACCACAACCTGAGATATTCCTTTGTTCTTCGTTAACATTGTAAATGATTGTTGCCTTTATATAGATACGTCACTCTGCCTGGAGATGACCAATGTCCATTTAGATGTTTTTCATCTCAAGTGTCATTTCCTCATTGAAGCTATACCTGACTTTGTTTACAGATTCAAGTGCTCCTTCCTCAGTGTACTTCAGTGGTTCCATGTATCATTTGTCACACATTCTACTGCCATTATTTGGTTTATAACTCTCCTTATTAAAGCATAAATTCATTAAGGAGAAAGATCAAGTCTTTATCTCCCCAGTTTGCCTGGCATGTACTAGCTGCTTATTAAATGTCTGTTGAACTGAATGATTAAGCAAAATGGAATAATAATTCATATCTCCTGTATCTCACAAGTCTGTTGTAAGGTAAAATGAATAAATAAAGCATTGTTAGATTTTTAAACTGAAATACTACCCCAAAAATCTTTTTTTTTTTCCTTGCCTTATCAGCCAGTAGTTAACAATATAATGCTTTTCTGATTAGGACCTTCATTCAGGAGCTAGCTTCCTTAAATATTTTTTGGGTCATGAACACTTCTGAAGAATAGATCTCCTTTCAGGGGGCTGGTGGGTGGGATTCATCTATATAGAAGATTTCTGAAGCTACTCTGCATTTTTTCTGGTCTTTAGAAACCAATTTGAGAATCACTGCTGTAACCAATCTTGTAGCACAGAAGTTTCTGTACCAAGATAGCTCTGGATGTAGAGATGGTGCTTTGTTAAACTTGCTGCCTAAAAGGAAACCTACAAGAAGAAGAAATGATTGAATGGCCTTAAGGGAAGTTATTATGAAAGCAAATTAAAATGTCAAATTTGAGACACAGAGATACCACCAGCAGGTTTTCTTTGAACTTGAAGTGTGGGGAATGCTAGCAAAACTGGGTATAGTTTATTCAACAAGCACTTGAGTTTCTGGGTTTTCAGTAGAAACAGTGGATACAGGTGGGAAAGACAGTAGTAAAATCTTGTTTTTCATCTTTGGAACAGGCGGCATCTAAACTGGACACAGTGGGCTTCCCTCCTGATTCTCTTCTTGTCTATTGTGGCCCTAACTGCTGGCACTAAAACTTCACAGCATAACCTGGCAGGACATGGATTTCATCATGATGCCTTCTTCACCCCATCCAATTCATGCCTTCATTTCAGAAGTGAATGTTCCAGAAAAGACAATTGTACGGCAAAGGAGTGGACTTTTCCTGAAACTAAATGGAACACCACAGCTAGAGTTTTCAGTCACATTCGCCTTGGCTTGGGCCATATCCTTATTATAGTACAGTGTTTTATTTCTTCAATGGCCAATATTTATAATGAAAAAATATTGAAGGAAGGGAACCAGCTCACTGAAAACATCTTCATACAGAACAGCAAACTCTATTTCTTTGGCATTCTTTTTAATGGACTGACACTGGGCCTTCAGAGCAGTAACCGTGATCAGATTAAGAACTGTGGATTTTTTTATGGACACAATGTATTTTCAGTAGCCCTTATTTTTGTAACTGCATTCCAGGGCCTTTCAGTGGCTTTCATTCTCAAGTTCCTGGATAACATGTTCCATGTCTTGATGGCTCAGGTCACCACTGTCATCATCACAGCAGTATCTGTCCTGGTCTTTGACTTCAGGCCCTCCCTGGAGTTTTTCTTGGAAGCCCCATCAGTCCTTCTCTCCATTTTTATTTATAATGCCAGCAAGCCTCAAAGCCTGGAATATCCACCTAGGCAAGAGAGGGTCAGAGATCTAAGTGGCAATCTTTGGGAGCGTTCCAGTGGGGTAAGTTTGTGAGGATACTGCTTTTTGCTTGTTCTTCCCCAAATTGAAAACATGTTTATTCAAGGAAAAATAAGAAAAGTATTAGATCTCTGTGACTGTTGGAAAGCAGTCAACAGATGTGCATTGATGTTTGCAAGGACTCATGATAAATGCTATCAGGGATGGAGAAAAAGTTTAAATCATCTCTCAAGGACTTTATGTGTTGATAGTATCACTGACCTGGAAGATGCTTCCCAGGTCTTGTCCAGTTTCCCTACCTTTATGATTGAAGAAACTGGCTAAGTGTTTTACAGGTAATAAGTGAAAGAGTTAATATTAAACCCATGAGGTCTGACTCCTAGTCTCTTGCTCTTTCCACTCACTGCACAATAGGTGGAAAAATAAGCCTCATTCATAAAAAGAAGTTTATCTTTTACTTTCATCACTCTTCTTACATGGAAAACCTAGCTCTTTAATTTTTCTTGTAGTTATTTATAAACCACAATGTGCCAGAAAGACAGTTTCTTTTAATTCACTAAGGAAGGTAGTTTTCAAAAAGATCTTTACAAGTAGGAGAAAAAAATTTCTAGAAAAACACATATGTAGTTATTCTGAATATATGCCAGTTGCTTATAATCATGTGGAAGGATATTTCAGTCATGTTATAAGTAAATTCATAATCTTGGAGATTCTATTAAGGAGTTAAATATATGGTTAGACGAAAAATGCAATGAACTCTTCTATATAGCTTTAGCTTTACAATTTTCATGATTATACAAAATACGAACTGTTTCTCACAGTGAACACATTTACATATTCACCCTTTGGGAAATCTGTTACTTACTAGCATCCATGACATACCTTCTGTAAGTGTCATGCCTCTCAGGTGGTAAAAAAACAAACCTGAAGATGCAAAATTTAGAAGTTTACATCCCAGATGCCCCAGTCCCGCCAGTATACATTCAGAATTCCTCTTTTCCCCCCACAATGGACTGATAATGATGTTTGCCCCAACTTTTAAGTAAAATAACATCAATTTAGGTAGTAAGACTAGTTTATATTTTTTCTTCCATCCTTTAATTGTTTCACCTCAAGACCAGCAGGTGGTGCTCCTCACTTTACTCATGTTGTTAACTTTGGAGTACATTTTACTTTTTTTAAGTTTAATTTTTTATTACAACATTATAGTTACACTTAGTAGTTGAATTCATTTTGACAAAATCATACAAGCATGGAATTTGATTTATTCCATTTAGATCCCTGTCTTTCTGCTTCCCTTCCCTCCTCCCTTTTCCTATTCTTTGTCTACTCTACTGATCTTTGTTTTGCACATTTGTTTATTTTTGATTGGTGCTTTTGACATATACATAAAGGTGGAATTCACTGTGGTATATTTATATATGCACATAGTGTGATTTTGTGAAATTCATTTTTGCATTTTCTCCCCTTTCCTGCCCCGCCCCCAATCTCCTACTCCACTGAACTTCCCTTTATCTTTATGATACCCGATTTCCCACCCACTCCCCCCCACCACCACTTATTTGCCCTAACTTCCACATATGAGAGAAAACATTCAACCTTGATTTTCTGAGTCTGGCTTATTTCGCTTTGCATGATGTTCTCTGTTTCCATCCATTTACTAGCAAATGCCATAATTTCATCATCCTTTGTGGCTGAGTAAAACTCCATTGTGTATATATTCCACATTTTATTAATCCATTAATCTATTAATAGGCACCTGAGCTAGTTCCATAATTTAGTTATTTTTAATTGTGCTGCTGTAGACATTGATGTGACCGTATCACTGTAGTATGCTGATTTTAGTTCTTTTGGATAAATACCAAGTAGTGGGATAGTGGAGCCGTTATGGTGGTTCCATTCCTAGACTTTTGAGAAATCTTTGTTCTGCTTCCAAGAGTGGTTATACTAAAATGCAATCCCATCAACGATGTTTAAGTGTCATTTTTTTCCCCAATTTATTTATTACTTGTGTTCTTGATAATCGCCATTCTAACTGGAGCAAGATGAAAACTTAGTGTAGTTTTGATTTGTGTTTTCCTTAGATATCGTTGAACATTTTTTCATATATTTGTTGGCTATTTGTTTTTCTTCTTTTGAGAAATGTGTTTTAGTTGTTTTTCTCATTTATTGATTTGGGTTATTTGTTTCTTTGAGGTTAATCTTTTTGAGTTTTTTAATATATTCTGGATATTAATTCCCTGTCAGAGAAGTAGCTTGCGAAGACTTTCTCTGATTCTATGGGGGTCCCTATTCATGCTCTTAATCTTTTTCTTTGCTATACTGAACACTTATTGCTTGTTGGTTTTATTTCTTGAGCTTTAATGGTCTTGTTAAGGAAGTCAGTGCCTGCATCAATATGATGGAGCGTTAATTTTGTTTTCGTGTAGCAGTTGCAAAATTTCTGGTCTAATTCTTAAATCTTTGATCCACTTTGATTTGATTTGGGGGCAGGGCAAGAAATAGGGATCTAGTTTCATATTTCTATTCAGTTTTCCTAGTACTAGTTGTTAAAAAGGCTATCTTTTCTCTGACACATGTTTTTTATTCCTTTGTCAAGTATCAGATGACTGTGTATCTGTGTGGGTTTTGATGCTGGTACCATGCTGCTTTTATTACTATAGCTCTGTAGTATAATTTGAGATTAAATATTATGATGTCTCCAGCACCATTCTTCTTGCTCAGGGTGGCTTTGGATATTCTGGGTCTTTTATTATTCTTCCAGATAAATTTTAAGACTGCTTTTCTAGTTCTGTGAAGAATGTCATTGATATTTTGATGGGAATTGCATTGAATCTTATATTGATTTTGGTAGGATAGCCATTTGACAATGTTAATTCTGCCTATCCAAGAACATGGGAGGTCTTTCCATCTTCTAAGGTCTTCTTCAATTTTTCTTCAGTGTTCCATAATTTTCTTAGTAGAGATCTTTCACCCTTGATTAGATTAATTCTCAAGGTTTTTTTGGTTTTGATGTTTCTTGTTTTGTTTTGTTTTTTAAAGTTATTGTGAACAGGATAGTTTCCCTGATTTATTTCTCAGCAGAATCACTATTAGAGTATAGGCCATCTATTGAATTATGAATATCGATCTTGTATCCTGCTACTTTGCCAAATTCATTTATCAGCTCTAGAAGTTTAGTGGAGTTTTTTGGGTCTTCTGGATATAGGATCATGACATCAGCAAACAGATAATTTGATGTCTTCTTTTCTTATTTGTATCCTTTAATTTTCTTCTCTTGCCTGTTTGCTTTGACTAGAGTTTTTATGAACTATAAATAGAAGTGGTGAGAGTGGACATCTTGTCTTGTTCCTCATTTTAGAGGAAATGCTTTCAGTATTTTTCTGTTCAGTTTGATATTGGCTTTGGGTTTGCCACATATATCCTTTGTAATATTGAGGTAAGTTCCTTTTATTCCTCATTATGCTTCTAAAGTTAACTTTCCAAGTACTTATCTAACTTGACCAGATGATATTCACAATTTAATGAACTAGGATACTGATTTACATGTTAAGTAAGACTTCTCTTTACTAATCTAAATTTGACCTTTTGAATTTTGTTTTAATTAATTACTAATTTTATCTGTTTCCTTATAGGATGGAGAGGAACTGGAAAGGCTTACCAAGCCCAAGAGTGATGAATCAGATGAAGATAATTTCTAATTGGTACCCAAATAGTTGGCAGCTCTCACAATCGTATTTTCACATTTTCAATATTTGTAATATTTATGTTTTCATTTTGATAAACCAAGGATGCACTAAAGTATAACCCTTTTTGTATCTATCTAATCGCTCCTAAAACAGTTTCCCAAGGCTTAAAGTACCCAAAGTGTGAAAAATTTCCCAGGAAATGACACAGATATCATAGCATAGAGACTATATTAATAACCCAGTGTTTGGTAAGTCAGCAACAAATATTTGCAGATTATTTTCCTTGTACTCCAAGTTTCCAAATTTGAAGTAATCATGTTAGCTAGATCCTATAAATATATAGAGATCAGTTTGCCAGATATTCATAATTATGTGGTTCTAGTCTGCATGTGACAGTCTTCCCTTTTTTTATGATAAATAACATAGGTTTCCTCTCCAATTTAGAGTCTGTAGAGATAGTCATTTTGCAATTAAAAAGCAATGAAAGTAAAAATTTTGGCTGGAGGGCCTATCTGACTGTGCCATAGTTTCAGGATGATGTAGTCTGTGCTAAATGTTTTGCCGAAAAAGTAACTTTTCTGAAACAAAATCTCAGAATTTTAGTTTTTAGGAATTTACAGAAATTTTTTTTGTAATTATCTTTCAGTGTTTTATATACAAGTAAGCTTTGTGTAAATGAAGTTGGTTCCCAAGTTACCACAGTCAGCACTTGTACTTAAGCAAACCATTGTGAGTTTTTTGTTCCTTCCTCTTCAATTTGTATATCTCAACATCTTTGCATCATTGCTTTTGGATTATTACATTTTGGAAAATAAATATGAAGCCATTTTGTTTTATTAGTTATTAATTAAAGCTTGTGACTGTTAATATGTCTTTATATCATATTCTGTTTCTGAGAGTCAAAACACTGGCTTCAAAATCATTACAAGATTATCACTAAGACTAATGCCAAAGAATTCCTTTAAAAAAGATGCTTTTGCAAATAAATGTTGACTTTTAATGAAATATGAATAGTATAACTCTAAAAATAGCAAATCACTTTACAGTAATTGTTCTCACTTATAAGTGCATGGTATTTTTTAAGGTACTTTTGCATGCAGCCAATTGACTCTATTAGATAGAGCAATCAGGTGATAGATAATTTAAAAACAAGAAAACAGTGATTTGTTCAAGGTCATGCAGCTGAATGGTGATAGGAGGACAGGCTTTAGCTTATAACACTGTATGTTTACAAAGTTCTATACTGTAAATTTAAGTGATAAGGTGTCATGGAGCCTACACATTTCTTCTTTATTTCCTCTTAATTTTTATATATGTAAGATAATGCTATTATATAATCCATCTGTGATATCCTGAATAATATGACTGTCAAGAATTGGTCACAATTTGTAATTAAATTAATTATTAAACCTGTATCTTGTGTCACCACTCTTTCATATGAGGTGGGATGTGGAAACTTTTTAATTTCAAAAAAATGGAGTGAGGCAAAAACTGAAACAACTTTGAAAATTCATTGAGTATATTTTTACATCTAAAAATAGCAAAACTACATACCTTAACATAGAACATAAGCATTCGTGAAATATGAAGATGATATCTATTATGGCAATCCATTTTGAAGTTAACGAACACAAAGTATAGGACCTAACTTTTAGGAAATACAGCATACACAATGTTTTTTTGTTTTGTTTTTAAGTTGGGCATGGGGACACATACCTGTAATCCCAGATCCCAATTCTGAGGCTAGCCTGGGTAAACTTAATGAGAATCTATCTCAAAATAAAAATTAAAAAAGAGCTAGGATTATAGTTCAGAGGTAGAATGCTCCTAGGTTTGATCCAAAGTTAAAAAATAATAATAATCTTATAGAATACATTAAATAGCAAATTTCAGAAGTGCATGGAGGTAAGGTTTTCTTTCTTTTTTTCCACCCTCCTTTATAGAAAGTATTTATTGCTCAATGTCAAGTCTACTGTGTTAACTGACCACTTAATGAAAGAAAGGAAGAGAGGGAAAACTAAGGTAAAATGATAGGTTCTGATGTGGATGCCCTAGAGTACTTCATGGGCATACTTTTAAAAGAGGATGGTTTGAAAGTGAGAGGTCTAGAAACCATATCCTAGATGCTCTTGGAATCAAGGGATTGTATAACCTGGAGGGAAGAGTATCATGTAGGCATCTTTCCAACTTTGGGAAACTAAATTCCAGTGAGAGTGATAGGGTAACGTTATAAATACTCTCAACAAATTACATTTTTTCTGTAGAAAAAGCCTTCCTGAAGAATAGAAAGTACTAGTAAATTAACATTGAAGTTTTTAGGGAGAGATTATATTATTGGGATTTTTTAAAATTTTTTTATTAGTTGGTGATGGATCTTTATTTTTATATTTATTTATATGCAGTGCTGAGAATCGAACCCAATTCTCACACATGCTAGGCAAGCGCTGTACCACTGAGCCACAACCCCAGCCCCTATTGGGATGTTTTAGAAGAGACTTCTTCATTGGTATAGAAATTGGGTCAAATAATTTCTAAAATCCCTTTCTGTATTTAGATTCTCTTCTATGTAGTTATGACTCAGAACTAATGCACTGAATCTACTCCATGGCTTCTGAATAGCCATTGGTTGGCACAAGATACTACCTGCAATGAATAACCTGATCCAGCTCTGTTATTTGTCCTAGAACTGAATTTCTTGCTGTCCAGAGGGGAAGCAGGAGCATTGCTATTGGTTATAGGGGAAAAGGTGGCTAAGACCAGGATTCCAAATCCTTGGCCAGCCGCATCCTGTAGTCATAGGTGCTTAAGGTCCACATGTAGAAAACACTCTGGGCAGAACTAACTCTGGTTATAGCTAAGGCTTTTTTTTGCCTCCCTTTGTAGGTGCCCTGCCAACTAGTAAAGTGGGGTAGATTTTGTAGTTTTGTAAAAGCTCAGAGAATCCTTTCACTTTCAAACATTTCCAACAGGTGAATGAAGCACAGCCACATCGTTGACTCCTTTTCCTTTTACTGTGTCTTGATTTTGTCCATAAGTTCTTACATTCCAGTAGGGGAAGGAGGCAGAAAATGTTAATTGCAATGAAAAAAGGGTGATTTTTTTCTTTTCTAAAACCAAGAACAGAGTTTCTGAAATTAAATAATACACATTCTCCATTTAAAGGGGAAAAAAATTCTTACAAATCTCAGGTTGAACTTTTTTTTCTATTTTACTATTATTTAAGTACACACAAAAAAATATAATAGGAAGTATACACTTGCTTGCTTATACTTACATATGAAAACCAAAACAAATTTACTAAATAAGATACAAAGCTATAAAACCAATAAATTCTAAATTCAAATATGAATTTAATAAAGTTTTGGTCAATAGATTCACAATAGACCCCCTAACAGCCCTGCAGAATTTCTTCCCCTATTGCTGTTTTAGTTGCTTCAAGAACCAACATGTCTCTGCTAAAATTACTGAAACCTGCTGATATTGCTAGTAATACGTTTAATCCTGCAGGGGTTTATCAAACCATGTCTCCAACAATCCCACACAGATGTGGCATGGCCAGGCTGCCAATTCCTACTGGCCTGAGTGCTGGAAAGGTTTTTAAAACATTAGCTTTATGTGTTCCCTGATGTTCTGAAAGAACTCACCAGTAAAATTGCCTGGGTTTACTTTTTTTATTTTTAAGGAGGAGTACTTCCCCCCAACACACACACACACACACACACACACACACACACACAACATTCTCTATTTCTTATCCTCTTCTTGGTTTACTCTTAGTCATTTATATTTTGCAAACTAACCAATCAGATTTTTAATTTATTTTAATAAGAATGTATGAATCATTGTCGCTGGCCAGCCATGGACTATGTGTGTGTGAACTATGAGCATGAGTACATGAGAGGACTGGACTGATGTTGCCTCTCTGTGTGGGATAGCTCTGCCTATGATCCCTACACAGCATGAGATGGGCGTGACCTTCTGAGATGTCTATCTGCTGACCACTAAACATCAGAAAGCTAGACTCAACCTCATGAAACCTGACACCCCTCATTGGGGTGGAACTTTCTCCAGTGTCTTCCCTTAATAAAAAGGGGCTTCAGACCATTGTGGGAGCTGGAGCAGAGGGGTCATCGCTAAAGAATCCCAAGAAAAAGGTATTTTCTCTATCTCGATGTGATTACTTCGTGCCAACCCAATTTACCTGGGGTAACCCTGAATGACTTAGTTGCTGCAAATCAGTCTCTTAATTTCTTTAATTTCCTCTATTACTGGTATTTTCTTTCTTAGTCTTACTTATGAATGTTTTTTTTTATTGGTTTATCTATTGTTTTTATGTTAGTTGTTTCTATTTAATTTTTTCCAGACTTTTTACTGTGGCAAAATATATATAATATAAAATTTAGTATCTTAACATTTTTAAGTGTATAGTTCAGTGGTACCAAGTATGTTATTCATATTGTAGAATATCACTTTCCATCTCTAGAATGCTTTTCTTCTTGCAAAATTAAAACTTTACATCAATTAAACAATAATTCCTCATTCCCTGTCCCCTTAGCCCTTGCAGCTTCCATTTTAGTTCTGTCTGTATGAGTCTGACTGCTCTTAAGTACTTTATATAATTGAAATTTTATAATATTTGTCTTTTGTGATTGACTTATTTCAATTACTATGTGGTAGCATATCAGAATTTTCTTGCTTTTAAGGCTGTCTGTTCCCTTATTTGTATAGACCACATTTTGCTTATCTGTCTGTTGGTGGATTGCTTTCATGTTTTGACTATTGTAAATAATGCTGCTGTTAACATGGGGGTATACATGTTTCCTCAAGACCCTACTATCAGTTCCTGAATATAGACCTAGAAGTAGAATTGCTATATCATGTGGTGATTCTTTCTATTTTTAACATTTTGAGGAACTTCCACACTGTTTTTCCATGGAAGCTATACCATTTTACATTGCTACCAATAATGTTCCAGTTTCTCCATATTCTCACTGACACTTGTTTTCTGATGTTAGTTTTTTTTTTTTTTTATAATAGTCATCCTAATGAGTATAAGATGGCATTTCCTTATAAAATTTGACTTGCTTTTTCCTAGTATTAGTGATGGTAATCATCTTTTCGTATGCTAATTGGCCATTGTATGTCTTAGAGAAATGCCTATTTAAGTCCTTTGCCCATTTTTTAATGAAATTGCTTTGTTATTGCCATTGAATTTTTTGAGTTCTCTATATGTTCTGGATATTAATCCCTTCTCAGATATGTAATTTGTGAATATTTTTTCCCATTCTGTTGATTGCTGCTTTACACTGTTTATAGTCTTTTGATAACACAATTTTTAAAAATCTTTTTATAAAATCCAATTTGTTTTTTTAAGTTGTCTTTGGTTTTGGTATCATATCCAAGAAATTATTGCTAAATCTAATGCCATAAAGCTTTCACCATATTTTATCCTAAAATTTTTGTAAGTTTTAGATCATAGATCCATTTTGAGTTAATTTTTACATATGATTTTAGTTAATTTTTGACTATTGTGACTTATGTATATTATAATGTATATAATTAACTCCATCCTTTTGCATGTGCATATCCAAATTTCCCAGTATCATTTGGTGAAAAGATTGTTGTCATCATTGGATAGTGTTGGCAATCTTCTTGAAAATATTTGACTATATTTGTGAGAGTTTTAATTCTATTTAGTGGTCTGTATCTGTCTTTAGGCCAGTATTACACTGTTTTGATTACTGTAGCTTTGTAGTAAATTTTTAAATCTTAAAGTGTGCATCCTCCAACTTACTTCTTCTTTTTGGGGATTATTTTGGCTATTCAGCAAATCTTGAGATTCCATGTGAATTTTATTATGGGGTTTTCAATGTCTGCAAACACGAAAATTTGGCATTTTTATAGGATTGCATTAAATCCATATATTACTTTGTATTGACATCTTAATAAGATTAAGTCTTCCAATACATGAACACGAGATGTCTTTCCATCTATTTATGTCTTTAATTTCTTATGTCTTTAATATCTTGTAGTTTTTATTTCATAAGTTGTTCACCTGCTTGGTTACATGTAATTCTTAAGTATTTTACTCTTTTTGCTGCTATTACCTGAAATTGTTTTCTTTTTCAATTTTTTGAAAGATTCCTTTTTATTCTTTCATTTTAACTATAACTACAACTGATTTTTGTGTTTTGACTTTGTTTGCATCCTACTATATTGCTAACTTTGTTAATTAGCCCTAATGGATTTGTGGGTGTGCGTGGAGTGTGTGTGCAATCTCTAAGAGTTGCCTATATATAAAATTGTACTATCTGTGAATTGTACTATCTTCTTTTCTGCTTTGGATGCCTTTTTCCCCCCTATTTCTTGCCTAATTGCCCTATGAATACTGTGTTGAACATAAACGTTTGAATTG